GAGACCAGCCCTTCCCTGACGGGGGTTCAGGAAGGTGCCTGAGGAAGGCGGCTTCAGGCCTGTCTCTGCTCCCAAGCCCCCGCCCTCCGCCACAGCTCGGGGCCTCAGCTGCACCCCCATCCCGGCTGGATTGCGGGCCCGGGGGTCTGGCACACCCCGCTCCTCTGCAAGCTCCCTCCGTTCTCTCCGAAGGTCCTCCTCCCGGTCCCCAGCCTCCTTGTCCCATCCTGCTGCTTTCCCCATCCCCAGGTGACGGCCACCGTTGCTACAGATGTCTGGGGTAGGGTCACCTATGTCCCCAACTAGGCCAGAGGCTACCTGTGTCTGTCCCTCAGGGTCTCGAGGGGGCTGCTGGTTTCAGCCGGGAGACAGGCTTGGTCTCCTGGGCCCGGGGGGCAGCCGTTTAGAACAAGGCTTTAGCGGCCCCAACTTCGGAATGTTATTATTATTGTTGTTGTTTTTGTTTCTCTTCCCTCCAGCGTGCCCTGGCCTCACCCACAGAGCTGAGGCCTTCTCCGCCCACGGAGGGCTGGGGCGGGCCCCTCCCAGGGGAGGCTATTTTAACCCCTGGGCTTATGCCAGTCTGGGGCCAGAGGCATGGGAGGCAGATGGCTGGGAGGTGCCAGGAATGCCACATGCTTCCGGAGAGGTAGAGAGCCCCCCCACCCCCTGCTCAGGCACGTCCCAAAATAGCCCCTCTGGAGCTCGGCTGTCAGGCAGACATCTCGGGCGGTGGTGGCGGCAGCACCTGTCCCCACCACCCTGGGCCTGGGCCAGATGTCCAGGAGGAGCTGGGACGGCTGGGCTTGGGCAGGGCTGGCCCTGGGCCTGGGGGCTGAGGGCCCTGGGGGCTGGCCGACAGGATGCCCCAAACTGCTTCTAGAGCACCTCCTGACCCCTGGCCAGTCTCAGGGCCTCCCACAGTGACAGCAGGATATCAGAGAGCGTCACGCACCATCTTGGCTCATTTAATCAGCACAGTGACCCCACGAAGGCGGGCGGGCGGGCGGGCTGGGAGACGCACGAGGGAGTGGAAGGTGAGGGTTCAGAGCCCGGGGAGCCCGGCGAGGCCGGAGGCGGGAGAGCAGCATGGGGCGCGCTGCCGAGAAGCCTGGCCCACCCCGCGAGCCCTGTGCGCCCGGCACTCACTCACCATCAGCAGAAGCCCGAAGAAGGACAGGAGGTAGCCGGACTGGGCGGGCTCCAGCCCGAAGAAGTCCATGCAGATGATGGAGAACATGACCATGAAGAGCCCTAGGCAGGGGAGGGGTCAGGGCTGCGGCTCGTGCCCAGCCCTCCCTCCTGTCAGCTGGGCAGGAGCCCAGGCTGGGCCGACCAGGGTACCAGGGGCCCTGGCCACAGAGACTGGCACAGAGAGGTGGTGCACGTGACACCAGCCGGACCAGGACCAGCCTTCCCTGTGTTTCGCCTGGTCCCTGGCACGGGACGCGCCGCCCCTTGGGGCTGCTGCAGACTCAGTTGGAAGGTGCTGGAAGCTACCTTTGGACAGGGTGGCGGGAGCCCAGGGCCATCCCGGATGAGGGCAGTTGAAAGACGGGGCTCCTAGGGCTCACGATGTGGGAGGGTTTGGCCCTAGGCCTACCAGGGGTCCTCAAAGGCCACTTTTACTGAAATTGGTGACGTGGTCCCAGGCTCCACGCCCCAGAGAGCCAGAGGAGGGGGCTGGCGAGGGCCTGGCCAGGAGCCCTTGTCCCAGCCTCCACCTCACACCCAAGGAGCTTCAGCACAGTAGTGCCGGGGCCGAGAGCTTCCTGCCTGGTGAAGGGCCAGCCCCTTAGTGCCAACGTGGGGGTGTGCGAGCTATGAAAGCTGCCTCACTGGCTGGACTCTGTGCTGTTCCCAGCATCCTGGTTAGAGGACCCAGCGGGGGTACTGCGGTGGCCACTGGGCACAACTGGCCACTGACGCCCTCAGGGTCCACCCGTCACCAGACGGCCAGGACACAGGAGTCGCCCCAGTGAGTCTTCACCTTCAGACTTCCTGTCAACGCCTCTCAGACTGTCCCAAGAGGATTTGGGAGCCACAGGCAGGACAGCTGGGGCTGTGCGCACAGTAGGAGTACACGGGCTTCGAGGGGGCCCTGAGCGGCTGGGAGGAGAGGGAGGGCCCGGGGGCAGCCACATCTGCACGAACCAGGGGGCTGTCTCCCTCTCTGGGACTGATGTGACTGCATGCAGCCCAGCTGAGGCTTGAAGAGAGGCAGGCGACACAGGGCAGACAGAAGGGGCAGTGCCCTGGCTGCGGACCTCTGCCCCCACAGCCCCGAATGCTTAGCTGCACTGGGCTCTGGACACCCGGCAGGCAGCCTGGGACTCACCTGAGGGGAAGCCGGAGATCACCTTGATGAGGAACACCGGCAGGACACCTGGCCGCAGCAGCAAGTGGATGATTGCCTTCAGGTCAAACAAGCTGGCCTTGGGTCCACCTGGGCATCCGGAAAGGCCCATCAGGCCTGCTCCTCACTCCTCACCCGCCTCAGCCTGGCTGCTGGGGGGCCAGGCCTATGTATCTGCAGGCGCTGCTCCCACCCCAGGTCCTCCCTCTCAACTCTTTCTGGATTGTTCCATCACAGCGACTGCTCAGGGGCCTCTTTGCCCCAGGATGGCTCCCAGGTGGGTCGATCCCAGAAAGTGCTCTCAGTCACTGGGCAGAGACACAGGGCCCTACTGTGCCAGGCACGCACTGGTTGGCCGGGATGCCCTGGAGGGGACCTCCCCCCGCCCCCCGCAGAGCCCTGATTTCTCATTAAGGGGCCCTGGAGGCACTCTGCACGACACCTCGGCACCCCGAGCTGTGCTTCTAAAGCCAACGCCCTCACGGCACCCTGTGCTCGAGGCCTTGGGGTCCTGGCTAATCCACCCCGCCCCCCCCCCGTGGTCCTCCCTGGGCCTCCCCAGGCCTCCCTGGCAACCCCTCCTAACGCCTCGCTGCCCTGGACTTCAGCCTGTCTCACTCCCACCTCCATGCATTCCATGGACAAGGGCCCTCCTCCATGACCACACTTAGCTTGGCTCAAATGGTGCTGGCACCCCCAAGGGGCTCAAGGAGAAAAGGAGGGCATGAGGGGCCCCTGAATTCCTCCCCGTGCCCCATGTGCCCATGGGACATGCACCCCCCGCAGTAGACAGGAAGCCTCTGTGGACGCTTTGGCACGCAGCGGTCTCAGCAGACTCTCAAAGAAGGGAGGGCCCGGGTGGAGGAGGCCCCCATTATTGGCTAGCGGGAGGGGAGGCCTCCTGTCTCACACCGGCGAGTATCTGGGAGCGTTGTGCCTGGTGGGGCGTGCCTGGGGGGACTTACCCGGTGGGGCAGCCTGGCCACGGGCGCTGGCCGCTTTGGTGCTGGCGGGGATGCAGGTGAAGCTGAGGGCGGCTCCTAGGAGGTTAGCCACAAAAGCTATGATGGCCGGACAGTGAATCCTGGGGGCGACAGTCATGTTCGCACAGGGTGTGGGTGCCACCTGCAGCGTCCCCCCACCTGCACCTTCAGTCACACTTAGGCCTTGACAGCTGAGAACAGTTCAAACCCCACCACCCACATCCCCACAGCCTGTGACCTGCAGGGCAGGGGCCGGGGCCCTTGGGGCACATTTATCAGGTGACAGATGAAGGAACAGATGAAGCTCTCGCCCCGCTGACCCTCACCCTGTGGCTGCGGCCCTCAGCGTTCACAGCGTGTGGGCCCCAGCGGCCTCTGAGGATGGGCGTTGGCAGGAGCCAGGATGCTGAGCCCTAGCAGGGCTGGGGCGGACTCTCCCAGGGGACGGAAAGCTCTCAGGCGCTGAGGGGTAGGACAGGCCCCCAGGGACAGGCCTGGCGTGTGTGAGCACGCGCATCCACTTCTCCCGGCCTGGGCAGGTGTGTCAGGGACCTGGGGACCCGCACTGAGCCCTGGGGACTGCTGGGGGCCCCGTGCCTTGGCTCCAAGTCATGTCTTCCGTGAAAGTGGAAGCAACGTGGGGGAGCTCCCCAGACGCCCCCTGGAAGAAGAGGACCCCCCCATTTTACAGAGGAGGAGACCGAGGCTCCCGGGCCCTCAGTCCTCTTCTTTCTGGTGGGGCTGGAGGGGCCTCCTGGGGTGGAAGGTGGCATCTAGAAAGCAACTGCTCCACCTTGGGGAGGGCTCCGCCTTGGTGACTTGGGTCTGGAGGGAGACACGGGCGGGCCGACAGGGAGCAGCACACCTTCCGGAAGGGGCTGGGGTGCTGGGCCTGGGGAGGGGCTTGGCCCCCTCCAAAACCAGGACACCGCCCTACGGCGGCCTTCAGCCTGCCGGTGTCACCACCAATGGCTGTGACTCAGGCTCTCCCATCAGCTTTCACTTCTAAGGGCGCCTTTCCTGCCATGAGTCACCCACGTGGAAGCTGGACCCTCACGCCACCCTTGACCCCTCTGGGCGGCACAGGCAGACCTTGGCCTCCAGCTCCAGGCAGGGCCGTCAACCTGTCACCACTGTGTCCTGAAGGCTGTCCCAGCCCCATCCCCAGGGGGAGATAAGGGGCCAAAAGGGAACGTTTACTGAGCCCGGCTGCTGAGGCCTCCTGGCCTGTGCACAGCAGAAACCTTTCCCCTTCGCAGCAGAGAAAACTCCTATCCATCCTGCAAAGGCCCTTCTCTCTGATGCCCCGGGGCTTCCTCCCTGGTGGGCACCCTGTCCTCTGACAAGGGCTCGCTCTTTCAGACGGCCCGTATCCAGCCCCTGAAGACAGGTGGGCCTGGGTGGAACCTTGTGCCGAGACCACAGTGGACATTAGACCGGGGAACAAATGTGTGAGCTGTTCACATGGACAACCAAAGGCCTGTCCCAGACCCCACCAGAGCCCCGAAATCTGGCCTGGCCAGGGCCTCAGGGCACAGACATGAGTGGGAGGCCAGTGTTCTGGGAGACACCCCTGCACCTCCAAACGCAGCCCTTGGCCCTCCACGGAGGTCAGAGAGGGCTTCCCCCACCCCTCCCCGCCACAGCTGCACCAGTGTACACAGATACGCAGGGCACACACACGTACACACACAAACACACAGGGCTCCCTGGGGAACCATGGGCTGCAAGGGCTCTGCTCCACGCAGGACCAGGGAAGCCAGTGGGGCCTAGAGCCTCGGCCGCCCCTCATTCCTCAGGCTGGGACCTGCCAGGGCTCACACAGCGGGTCAGTGGTGGAGTTGGCACTTGTCCAGCCTGCATGTGCCACTGGCCCATCTCTGCCCCACCCCCCCACCCGCCAACGCCCACTGCCCAGGAGGCTGGTGATTCAGGCTTTCCGACCACTGAGGATCCCAAACACAGGGGCCTCTCCGCTGACTGGCAGGCCAAAGGGTGAGAGGGTGCTGGACCCCAGAGTGGCCCCACAGCCCCCCTTCTAGCTGGCAGGAACTGATCCGTGACGTGAGTAGGGGACACACCGGCCCTGGCGGCTGGCCCCAGAGAAAAGGGCTCTTTCTTCATGACTCTGGCCTCAGAGGCCCCCATGTCACTGCTCGGGGTCGGCAGGGACAAAACCTGCTTTCTCTGCCAGATGCCCCGGAAATGTGGGGGAGCAGAGGCGGCACTTAGATGGCTATTTTGGGAGGCTGGTGACAAGCGAGGGGCTGGTGGCAGGGAGCCAGACCACTTCTCCTGGGATCTTGCCTGTCCCTTGCATGGTGGCCAGGGAACCCAAGGGGCCCAGGAACCCTGGGGGGCACCGGGAGGAGTAGGGGTGCCCTCCCCACTCAGAGCTCTCTCCGACTCCCCAGGACAGGAAATGGAAGAGAAAGGCAGCTTCAGTCACTGGACCTCTGCGCGGAGGGTCTTCTCAGCTGGGATGCCCTCCAGCCTCGTGCCCAAAGCTCGGGCGCCCCTCCCTGGGGGTTTTCTGCTCAGAGCACCCCCAGAGTCAGCCCCCCTGCTCTCCGATCCTGCCCTGGGGACCTTTGTGCCGCAGGATCGTGAGGGATGGGGCTCTGTGGCTCAATGGACCGTCTTCACAAATCAAGCAATGACCATGAGGACAGGCGCCATGTGGTATGTCTTTGTCCACCACCCCCATTTATTTTTGGCTGAATGGATGGACAGGGGGCTGGATGGATGGACTCATGGATGCCACCAAAGGGCATCTGAGTCCTTCTGTCCTTGTCTGTGGCTACCTTGATGGGTGATTTCCTTTCCTCAGATACAAATGGGGCTGAACTCAGGGATGCCACCCTCCCAGGACACCCTGACCCCCACCCACCCCAAGGCTGCACCAGTCACTGGGGGCTGCCTGGTTGTCCTGCAGCCCAGCCCACCGGCCGTGGTTCCTCGTGGCTGGTGGCCACCAGGGCTGCCTTTCATCCTGATCTCGAGGCCCAGAGCATGCCCATACGCCATTATCAGGAAGGCAGGGGCCTGGCCATCTGCCCACCCCTGTGGACTCTGATTGGGCCTCTCGGCCTGACCCATCCAGCTCCAAGGTGACGATTACTGATGGAGCTGGAGCGGCCCTTCCCACCTGCTAAGGCTCTGAGAGGTGAAAATATGTGGCCAAGGTCTCCTGGCCTGGCCGAGGTGGGGCTCCGGGCCTCCGAGGCTGTGTACCCCTCTCCCGTACAACCTGGAAAACCGGCTAGGGTCAGTTGGGACCCAGCTTCACGTGATGTCTGCATATGGGGGGCTCTAGAGAGTCGCCGGATGTCCAGCCTGGGGCTCAAGGTGGAAAAGTCGCCCTGCCCCACCTGCCCCACGCCCCAGCACAAACACTGTGGCTAGAACCACGGAATGGGACTCTCGTGGGACCACTCCTGACTCAGCCTCCCTCTGGCTTCCAGGTCCCAGGAAAGAACCTTAAAACCATGTCCAGCCTAACCCCTTTGCAGCCCTCTGTGTCCCCCAAGCACCTGATCCCCCCACTCCAACCACACAGGCCCCAAGCCCCTCCCTGCCTCTGCAGGGGCTTTCTCTCGGCCTGGAACACTGTCTGTCCCAGCCCCTCCTTGTCTGACTTCTTGTCTCAGGTTTACACTAAGGTCCCGGCCCCATTCTTCCAGCCCTTTTTGCCCTGATCATGTCCTTCCTAGCGCCTGGAACGGCCAGGCTCTGTCTGCAGGTCAGTCCATCCCTCACGGGCGGAGAGGCAGAAGCCTGGCTGGCGCTGTACGGCCTCAGCCACCGAGCCCCAGGTGGGGCAGGCAGCCTGGCTGATGGGTGAGTCACTCCTGTCCCAGAGCCGTTCAGGGCAGCCCCGAACGACTACTCATTAACTCCCAGAGGATGCTGGCGTGTCACCGGGCGGAAACCGCCCATCAGCAGGATAAGGGGTTCCTGTGCCTTCACCCCTGGGATAACGTCCTCAGGGAGGCCTGTGTCACCCGCCTCCTGATAAGAAGTACAGTGAATACCATCTGAGTCCCTGAGGGCCCGCCGGGCGCAGCTCGAGCTAAGGATCAGAGCCAGGCCACTCACCTGCCAGTTGGTGCCCAGGAGGGCTGGCAGCTGACACTGAGACCCAGCTTTGCCTGACCTGCAGGGTGGTCTATGGCTCAAGTTTTCCTAGGTCTATATAAGTGGCCACCTGATGGATGTCTGCCCAAATTCTAACCAGTTCTGGGGGACAGACCCCTTGGGTCCTGGGCGGCAGGACCCGCTGTACTCATGACTTGCTGTGGGGCCACACTGGGCTGGCCCTGGCCGGGCCCTGACCAGCCATCCAGCCCTGACAGAGGCAAGCTGCAGACCCCCAACGCCTGCTTGTTCTGCTTAAGGCCCTCTCAGCAGCAGTCCCAGGTCTAACTGAGCCCTCCTGCCATCTAGTTCAAGGCCCAGGGGTGTGCACCCTGCCCCTGCCCAGGCTGACACTAGGCATCCAAGAGCCCTGATGTCCGGGGCCAGCCTCTCCTGCCCAGAGCTGGACAACAGAGGGCCTTGGTGAGGTGCTGGGGCAGCCCCCAGCACTCAGGGGGCTGCACCAAAGACCCCGGACGCTAAGTGCAACCCTCAGGCCTGGTGTCTCTCCAGGTTCTGCCATGAGCAACATTTGACAGGGGGCTCCCCTCCTCAAATCTCCGAGACCCACCCCTGGGACATGACTCAGGTGGGCTGAGCAGGCTGGCACTGCCCACCTCGAGGCTCATGGCCCTCTTGGGATTAAGGTGTGACTGAGGCTTCCCCAGGTTGTGAGGTCCTGGGCTCAGGGCCATGAGTCACAGAGCCACCCCCCAACACACACACCTGCTAAGTGAGTCATGGGCCAGGTCTGGGACTCGGAGAGCCAGCCCTCCCAGCCCTGAGCTCTGGGCTGGGCCCAAACCAGTTACACCAGTGCCTGTGCCACAGCCAGGAGCTGCCAAGGCCACTTCCTCCCTCTACCCGCTCCCCAGTGTCGGGCAATGGAGTACAGCTGGGGCCTTTTGGGGATGGGGCACAGGGGGTGGGGAGGGCAGGGAGGCCAGGCATGGTGCTCGCCTTTGCCCTGGGGCAACAGGGTCCTGAAGCCCGCCATCCCTGGGCCTTGCACAAGGACCAGGAGCTCCATGGGGGAGCCCCACCTTCCATGGGAACTCAGTTTCCCCACCCATCAAAGGAAGTCCCAGGGATATAAAGTGCCTTGGATCTTGGGATGAAAGAGAGGCACTATGGAATGTTCTGGAAGGTGAGGGCAGGGGTGGAGGTGATCTTGGGAGCTGCTGAGAGTGAGAGGGGAGTAAGTGGTAGCTTCTGGGTCAGAGTGGGCTGGAGAAAAAGGCAAGCGATGATGAGACGGACCGTGACACAGGGCTGGTGAGTGGAGGCCAGCGTGTGTTGGTGAGTGAGTGAGTGAGTGCGTGAGTGTGAGTGTGTGTGTCCCTGACATAGGGCCCAGCCCTCACACCTCACAGCACCCCCTGGGAGCAAGCAAGTGCTGAAAGACCCATTTCATAGGTGAGAACACCTGGCGGGGTGAAGAAAGGTGCCCGTGGACCATGATAGCAGGTGACTGGGCTAGAAGGTGAAGCACCTGTCCAAAGGGCTGAGAAAGTCCTGGCGGGTGGGGCAGTCGGCGGGGCCTCCCCCTGCCCAGCCTCTCCTGTCCCTCCACCCTCTCCACGCCCCTGACCTTCCACCTCCCTCTGGGGAAACAGCCCTTTCTCTTGACCGTGACTTCCCTATCGTGACTCACCTACCGAGTCAGGTCCCTGCCTCTGCCCAGCACAAAAGGGAGGCAGGTCCCGACCAGGTGGAATCGGCGGTCGCTGTCGGCCTCGTAGGCGCGGTGAGCTCTCCCCGCCTGGACCCACATGCCCCTCGGCTTCTAAACTGTCCTCGCGGATTTCCTTCCTTTCCCGCCCTTATCATCCCTCCTCTTTGACCACCCCCGACCCCGGCCATGAAGCAAGCCAGCTCGCAGGGCTTAGAAATCAGCCTCGAGGACGCAGCCCAGCTGTCCCCCAGCTCAGACCCCCTTGCCCAGCCGCCTGTTCCCTTGGGCACCTAAGGGCCACCAGACTCAGCCCCAATGGAGACCCGACTCCCACTGGTGCCCCATGATGCTCAGATCTCAGCAAGGTCCATGGCTCCCCTAGGGCCAATCTGCATCAGGAATGGCCTTGAGTTTACACCTGCATCCCCCCATTAGTAAAGCCAAGCCAGAGCCTGCCCCTCCCCCCACGGCCACCCCTGGTCCGGCCGCCATCCTGTCTGGCCTAGACCAGGGCCAGGGCCGTAGCCAGCTCGCTGGTCTCCCTGCAGTGGCCTCACCTCCCACATTCTCAACACAGCAGCTAGGCTATACCTGCCCAGGGCTTCACGGGCGAGCCCCCGCCGTCCACTCCCTGCTCCCCCACTCCAGCCTGAGTCCTGCAGGACAGGCCCTCCTGTCTCCCCCTCACCTCCTTGAGGTCAGGTGACCACCTGTCTTCGTGGCCCCCAATCCTGCTGTATTATTACTCTCACACCATGCAGTTCAACCAGCCCTGAGCTCTGGGCTGGGCCCAAACCAGTTACACCAGTGCCTGTGCCACAGCTGGGTCTGTCCTGTTCGACGCTGTTCCCAAGAACCCGACGCCAGGGGCACTTAGATGGTCAATAAACGCGGTGAGGAAACGTGAGCAAAGGGGTCTGCCCTCCTGCCCAAGGCGCTCAGCAGAAGAGGGCTCCGGAAACCCAGGCTCTGATGACAATGCTGGGGTGGGAGGCGGGAGCCTGCGGCTGGAGACCGCTCTCCAGAGACTGGAGGTGTCGCGTGACAAGGCCACCATGCCCTCTGTCCTCCAATCCCTGGGGCTCAGCCATTCACCACTATTGGGGTTTGTCTGGGGGTACTCGAAGAGTGTGGGGAAACTGAGCCCCCCAGAGGCCCAGGGCCTGGCATAGGGTCTTTCAAGATTAGAGAACCTGGTGTCAACAGAGGTTCTGGCCCGATGGCGAGCGGCACCCCTGCCATCGTGTGTGTGTGTGTGTGTGTGTGTGTGTGTGTGTGTGTGTGTGCATACGCGCACGTGGTAGTTGTGTGTGTGTAGTTCAGACACCAGGAAGGCTCCTCCCTGAAGGGAGTCCCAGGGCAGCTCGCCCAGGCCTGTGTGGGGTCAGGGTGGGTAGTTCACCACCTGGCACAGGGCCTCTGGTCAGGGAGCAAAGAAGGGTCTCCACCCACTGCATCACCCAGCCCAGAACGAAAGGCTTGGGCCAGAATGAAGGTCAGGTGCAAAGTCCACCTTTATGTAGAAAGCCAATTTCCAGTGGGTGTTGGGGAGCTTCTGGAGAGGGAGACATGGGGGTGGGGAAGCGTGGGGAGGGGCTGGTCTCCCAGGAGCGGAAGGGAGGTCCCCCTCCCTAGCCAGCCAGGGTGGGCCTCTCTGGGGCCAGGTGTCCTGGGTCCAAGGTTAATCTTTTCCCCCAGAAGGCACGCCCAGGGACACCGGTACAGCCAGCTCTGTGCAGCCCCCCACTGGGTCAGGAGCCTTGGGATGGGCCCCCCCTGTGGACCACTGTGTGGGAGCTGCCTGCTGGGCTCTCAGGGCACCGGGCAAGAGCTGAGTCCTGCAGGCCAGGGTCTGGGGACTGGGAAGGCCTCGGGTCTCCGGGTGTGCAAAGCTGGTGTGTGTGTGTGTGTGTGTGTGTGTGTGTGTGTGTGTGTAGGGGCGACAGAGGCCTTTATTTCACATATACTAGCTATTACACTGCCTGCATACTGTTCTGGCCCCTCCAGAGGCTCAGACCTGGTTGCAGGCAGCGTCCCCATCGCAGAGCAAGTGCCGGCGTCCCCCTCCCCCACCGCCTGCCGTCAGGTTTCCTTTAGGAAATTAGGTTTCCTAATTTCAGTCCGGCCGGAGCTTGCCAGGCAGGTCGCCCCAGCTTGGGACTGCCCTGGGACGAGCGGCCTGACCCAACCTGCGTCCGTGGGATTGCAGCGCGGGGCTACGGCGCCCTCTGCCGGACGCTCCGCCCCTCCAGCCCTTCCCACCAGGCAGGTAAACCTGCGCCAGACCCAACCTGCTCTGCGTGCAAACGAGGAAACCGAGGCCGGGAGAAGCGGCCGGGATGGGCCGAAGGCCTGGAGCGCGGCGACGGCGCGGAACCGACTCCGCCTCGGCCATCCTGACCGGTACTCCCACCGCCCTCGCCGTCCCGCCCTCCGGCGGGTCCCTGCCCCGACCACTTACCCGCACGCGGCGCTCAGGGTCCCCCCGAGCAGGGAGCCGAGGATCGTGCCGAGGCCAAAACACAGGCCGAGCCGGCTCAGGGCCGCGGGGCGCTCCTCGGGCGTAGACAGGTCGGTGATGACCATCTGGGCGGCTGGGGAGGGGTGCGGGGGCTGAGCGGGGCAGACCTCTCGCTGACCCCGAAGAGGCCCGGCCACGCCCACACATCACCTCTGCACCCCTCGGCCCCCAGGCCACGCCCCCATACACCCCCTGAAACCCAGACCTGCCCCCACAGGCCACCCAACACCACTCCTCCCCTCTGATCTGCCGTCCCCACTCACCCCGTCAGGCCACGCTCTCACAGCACCCCTTCTCAGGTCCCAGAAATGCGAGGTGACCTCGTCCCGCCCCCTCTGGCTCAGGTCACGCCCCATATCAACCCTTCCCCACTTCTCTCCTGCCCTCCGCTCCGCCCAGGCTCCCTGGACAGGCCCCCAGCCCTACCCCCGTCCTCCCGCAGGCCTGAGGGTGCCCTGCCCGGTCTTACTTGGCATCGTGTGCATGAGCGCGGCGGGCAGGCGCGAGGCGAAGAGTAAGGCGACGCCGGGCAGGGCCGGGCTGCAGGAGGCCGCCAGGAGCAGGTAGAGTGCAGAGGACGCCAGGGACGATATGGTGAACGCGGCCCGCGCCCCGCGCTGGTCTGCAAACCTGGGGGCACCGCACCCCTGACCCTCACAGATGTGGGGCAGAGGCCCCCCTCCTCTGTCCCCACCCCCACCCCCTGGGACTGCCTGGAGCCAGGCCAACGTGCTCCCACCCACAGGGCTGATCAGGGAGACCCTGTGCTGCGAGGGTTGGGGAGACAGCCTGGGCCTGGGCCCTCCTTAGGCTGCTGGGCCACCCACCCTGCTTCCAGCCTCAGCTCCTGCACCCTTCCAATGGGGCAGCTTTCAGTGACGCGGGTGTCACTCCCTATGAGGAGAACTTGTGGGATCTGAAGGGACCAAAGGGACATGCACGTGTTACAGAGCACGTGTCCCAGGTTCGCACCCTTCTCCCTCTGCTCTGGGCAGAGGCTGGGAACCCCTCCCTGAGCCCCTGCGGTGTCTGGTTTTACTGTGTCTGCAGTGCCCAGAACTGACTTTTCCAGAAAAGTTGCTGGTGGGGTCCCCAGCTCAGCAGGGCTGGGCCTTTACAGCCATGAGAGTTTCATCAAGTAAATCCTCTCTGACCACAAACCAGAATGAGTGGAACTTCTGGGTGGGACACCCTGGGAGCTGGGGCTCCTCCCACCCTGAAAGGCACTGAAGTTCTTCTGGGCCTCGAGGTGCCATCACCCTAACGGGGCCCATGTGAGGTTGGGAACCTGGCCTGACCCAGCCGGGGACCTCTGAGGGGCATGCCCATTGTACCTGCCGAACACGGGCCCGCCCAGCAGCTGAAGCACACCAAAGGTGGTCTGCAGGTAGCCAAAGGTGACAGAATCCAGGCCCAGGATCCGGGACAGGTACTGAAACACAGTAGGGGTCCTTGGGAAGGGTCTGGGAAGGACCCCAGGGTCCGGACTTGGGGGTCCTCCGTGGGCATGTCCCTGCCATCTCACAGTGTGCCTGCGCCCTTCTACTCAGTGCTCATCTTGGAGGGGTCCTCTGGGTCCAAGCTTCAGGGAGGGCTGTGCTCAGTGGAAGCAGCTACTGGCCCCCTTACCCCTGTGGGGTACACCTCATATGGATGAGGGAAGGCACCCAATCCCCACCATTTTGGTTTTGTTCACTTAAAGTCCGTGGTGATGGTAGCATCTCCACGTCAACAGGAGGTTGTCCCAAAGTGTCCCTTTCCCAGCAGGATGCAGGCCTGCCCTCTACTGGGAGACCCTCCTGAGGGATGCACATCGGGGAGCAAAATGCAGTGACCAGTGCCCCTCCAGTGAACCCCAGGAGGCATGGGGACCCAGGTCTCTTGTCCTAGCCTCACTTCAGTACTCCGGAGGTTGCTGTTTCCCCAACCCTGGCCTCTGAGTTCCTGACCCCTCCCTTTAGTGATCCCACTTATGATGGGTTAAATTGCGTCCCCCCACACCCCAAAGATATGTTGAAGTTCTCACCTTCAGTACTCAGAATGTGACCTGATTTGGAAACTGAGTCTTTCTGGAGGTAATCACGTTAAGTTACAGAGAGGTCATAGGGTGGGCCCTGATCCCGTGTGACTGGGGTCCTTGTGTAAAGGGGGAATTCTGACACACACACACACACACACAGGCAGAGACCGGGATATGTGGCCACAACTGGGGTTGTCTGGGGCCAGCAGAAGCTGGAGGAGGCAGGACACATGTGCCCCTACACGCTTCACAGGGAAGATCGTAGCACGTGTGTTTGGACTTCTGGCCTCCAGAGCTGTGAGACAATGAACTTCTGTTGCTCTAAGCCACTCAGGTTTGGTGCTTTGTCATGGCTGCCCCAGGAAATGAACGCACAGCGTCCTGCACTCTCCCTAAGCAGTCTGGGACAACCACTGCTTCCCTTCTCTCATGCGTGTGCACACTGCTGAGCCCAGGGCTGTGGCCTTCCGTCGCCTCCTTCCCTGTCCCTCCCCTAACGTGGGTAGCCTGGGCAGCAGAGCCCGGCTGGGGACGCTGGGAGCCTGGCTGTCGGACAGGTGTCTCTGTGGACTTGACAGTCATCACACATTCATTCCCCTAGTGAGTCTGTTCTCTCTCCTCTATCCCCCTCGTCACATCCAAGCCTCTGGCCTCTTCCAGGGCAGGGCTCTGAAAGGTGTCTCTCTGCCTGCCTCCTCTCTCATTAGAGGGTGCACCCTTGCTGTTCCCCACATCCCCATCCTGGCGGCTTTCTCTACACCCCTCCACCCCTCCACTCCCTTTTGCTACCTTTGCAGCAGACCCCTAAGAAGAGCTGCCCGCCTCCCCTTCCCCTCCTTCACCCCTCCCCTGTCAGGCACTCCCCTTCCCCTTCCCAGAGGTCACCCCGACCTCCTGCTCCCCCAAGTGCTCAGCTTCCATGCTCCTCACGCTTACAAGGCTGCCTCGGGGCTCCCCCCTCCACCTCGATCCTATCTGCCATGGACCTTCCGGCTTTTCCCTGCAAACCTGGCGGGAATACCGTGTTCAGTGGGAGCCTGACTGCGCTCTGCCAGTGGCACAGAGTGACACCTGCCCCCGTCTCTTTGTCCTAAAGGGCCCCTGCCCCTCCACTCAGTGTCTCAAAGCATCCGAACTCAGCGGGTCCAGAGCTGGCTCCTGGTCTCCCCGCAAGACGGGTCTCTGCTCCGCTGCTGACGCCTCCACCCCCGCTCGGGGCCATCCTGACTCCCCTCTTTCTCACATGGCTGACCAATCCACCAGCCACTCCAAAGGCTCCGCCTTTGCCCCAGAGCCCCTCTCAGCTGTCCTGCCGCCACCCCACTGCACGGCCTTCCTGGGAACCCGGTGTCCCCTCTGGCCTCAGCTCCTCCTCGTCCCTCTTCCCCAGCCCTGGCCTCATTACTGCCCCAGGGCCTTTACACTGGCTAGGCTCACTCCTGGATCCTTTCAGCCTTGGCTCTGGGAGGCCTTCCTGACCCCAAACCTGCCCTGCGTCCTCAGGCACTCCCAGCCCCCCGCCCCCCATTGCCTTTCCGCAGCCCGGTTTACCTAGTATTGTTTACTGTTGGTGGGCATCACAGTCCCCGCCACACACACACCACAGCGGGCTGCCAGCTGCAGGGGCAGCTTGTTCAGTCCACGCTGCGCTCTGCTCTGCTGTGTTCAGAGTTCTGAGAACGGGTGCACATAGTAGGTGCTCAGTGCTCATTGCTGAACAAATACGCGCCCCTCCAGTGTGTGTGGGGGGTGCCCCAGCTCTGTGCCCAGCTCAGGGGTCGGCCAACTGCGGCTCACAAACCACATGCGGCTCTTCAGGTCCGTACATGTGGCTCTGAAGTAAAATTGAAAATGAAAATAAAACTATCATAGTTTCATTTATAAAATTTTTAAAGGATATTATTCACATAGTGGTGATTTCATTTGTTGTATGGCTTTCGAATGATTTTTAAATTGTTGTGAGGGACAGGATTGGCTCTTCCGTCTCAAAAGTTTGCCGACCCCTGGCCCAGCTCTTCTAAGGCTGTAACTGTTCACTCATCACTCTCCACACCAACCCTCTGAGGGAGGGATGGCTGGGACCCATTTTGTGATGAGGACAGCGAGGCGCCTGCCCAGGCCGCCCGACTGCTGAGGAACGGAGTCGGCCTTGGACCAGGCCACTGGGGGGTAGTCAGCTGGGCTTGGGGGTGGGAGGGGCCAGGTTGGGCTCATGGGCTGGCGGGGAGCCTCTCACAGGCACCCCCTCCCCCCAGGTCCCCAGGCCCAGGCTGCTCAGGAGAGTCTCCTGGGGAACTTTTCAAAGTGCCTCGGCTCCACTCAGACCAGACAGGAAAGGATCTCGGGGGCTCTGGCACCTCCAAATCTCCCTGGGAGGGTGACAGCGAGTGTGCCAGCTCCACGAGGGTTTGCGTGAAACACACGCGTACAGGTAATGTCTGGCTGGTGGGCGGCCTGTAACAGGAGGCACAGTGGCCACATAACCAACTGCCTCCATGGCTGCGCAGTTTCAGACCAGGAGAGGCAGCAGGGAATGAATGAGATGGAGCAAGTCCTTCCCTCCCGTCCCGGCAAGGCAGACAGAAATAACCTAACACTTAGGATGGATGTGGGCTGTGGACAAGCTGCCGGAGGGCTGACCAACCAGGACCAGGGGTGAGGGGGCGCCGTTGTGGTACCAGGCAGGTGTCGGGAGGACCTGAGCAGAGCAGAGGCCTGAGTGCAGCTAGGAAGTGAGCTGGGGTGGGGGTGGGGGTGGGGTGGATCAATAGGGCAAAGGCTCCAAGTGGGGCAGGAGCAACAGAACTAGGAGAGCTGGTGGAACGGGTGCTGCCAGGAGGGCCGTGTGGCGTGGGGGTGGCTTTCTACAGCCAGAGTCCAGGACAGGCTGATGGAGGGTCAAGAGGCACAGTCGCTTGGTCCTTTAACTTGCTTAGCTTCAGTGTGGCAAAGAGCCCCCAGTGAGAGGGGTCCCACCCCAGCCCCCTGCCATTGCATGGATGATGAGAGGGACAGTGACGGCAAGCTGGCGGCCAGGCTGCCTGGGGCGGAGGCACTCACCGGTATGATGGAGAATTGCATGAAGAGGCAGGTGAGCTCCAGGGCAGTCAGCGTGTAGGTGAGTAGGAGGACCCAGGGCCGGCCCAGAGGACCCATCCCGGCAGGGGACTGACCCTGGCCCCTGGGGGCCCCAGCTCCTGGCATCTGGGCAGGTGCTGCAGGAGACCTTGCAAGGATCCAAGCAGGAAGCTGCAGGGACAGATAGGGGGCAAAAGTCCTGTTGTGCAGGGGGAGGGTGCTGCGTCACCGGGCAGGAGGCTAGTGGCGCCCGCCTGTCCTCTCGGCCCACACAGGGCCTGCAGGAGGGGACAGCGCTGCAGGACGCCCAAGCGGGCCCTCCAGCTCCCTGCTGTAAGACCTGGGGCCAGTCTTGCCCTTGGAGAACGTGGCAGGTGGTCCTCTCCCCTCACAACTGATAACTCCAGATGTCTGGGCACACAGCCCCCGTGGAACTGGAGACGGGCCCTCTCTGCACATGCCTTACACAGGAAGGCACTGGCACCCCATCTTTAGAGGGCGACAAGCTCTAGAGTGGTTGTTGACCTCACCTCAGGTAGGTGCCTCCTGAGGGTGTGTGGCTGATTTGGGTCCCTGTGCTGGGGGGGGGCCCTCCTCAGGCCCACAGTGCACCGCCCCGCTCCCCACTATGGAGCAGCTTTTAGTGGGGGGCCCACCTACCCATCTGCCCCAGCCAGAGCCTGCGGGGGCTTCTGCAATGGCCTGGAGATGGGGTGGGGGACACAGCTCAGCCTCCCAGGCCCCCCAGGCAGGGCAGGTCTGCCTCACCTGCAGCAGGACCCTGTCTGCTCCCCACACCCGAATCAGCTGGAACCAGATTTGTGGAGGCCTCCACAAAGTCTTGCCAAATTAACACCGGACTGTGTTTTGAATGAATTAATGAACAGGGTGGCCTTCAGAGCCCGGGGCCCGAGGTGGGGTAGGGGACGAAAGCAAAGAGGAGACCCTGGGCTTTGCCCAACCGCCTTCCCCATGTCGGGGTGCAGGGAGGCTGCGGGGAGCAGGCAGAGGTTGATAGCTGCAGGTCAGGGGCACCTGGCTAGGCAGGGGCTGGGCGCGGCGCGGGGCGCGTGTCAGGGGCTGCCCTGGCCCAGGTGAGCTCCGGTACCTGCTTTCACAGGGCTCAGCTTGGGCACGGGTCCGGTGGGGAGAGCCCTCCTGGGGTGACTTAGCGCTGGCGCTTCCGGGACTGGGCTCCGGGCCCCACCCTCTGGGAGTGACAGAAGACTTTGGTCCTCTCGGAAGGACTCAGACCCCGCCCCCTCGCCCGCGCGCGCAGCCTCCTCGCTCATTGGCCGAGCCCCACACGCCCCCGGCGGGCCCCGCCCCGCGGCCGGGGCACCCCAAGCCCCCTCTTATGTCTCTGGCCTGACTTTGCCCAGACTCTCCTGCACCCCCATTTCTCCCAGGTCGGACCTAGAGTGGGGAGGGGCAGGAGCAGAGAGACAGAGACTGGGGACAGGGGCTGAGAAGGATAGGAGGGCAATGGGGTGGAGGCAAGGGAAGGGGTTAGGAGGAGCCCCAGAGACCTAGAGGAGGGGCGGGGAGACGGGGGCGTTACTGGGGACCTCACCCGCAAACCTGGAGGCTGCTGGGAGTTACGGAGATGTCATTTCGGTGACCCCGCCTCCTTGGGTTGGTGGCGGGTAGAGGTGTGCTTCCAACCACCGGGAGCCCCTGCTGGTGCTGGGGGGACACACGGACTCAGCTTCCGGCCAGGCAAAGTTCCCCCATTCAGGACCGCCACCCCTGCCCAGCAGCTCAGAGCCAGGCCACGGGCCCAAACGTCAAACCCGAAGTCTCCTCGGCCGTGTAACTACAGCTCAGCATCGCAGAAAACCCAGGGGCCTAGGAGCCTGAGACGTGGGGCAGACAGCCTCGGAGTCCCTCCCGCGGTGCCCAGGGAGGGATGGGAGGGCAGGCCACAATCCAGGCAGCGAAGGGCAGAGCCGGGGCGCCTAGGGACCGCTCTCCGTGCCTCTCAGGGCGGGAGCCATGGGCCCCAGGTCCGCAGGGGGAGTGGCTCCTGTCCCGCCTCTCTGTGTAGCGGACCTGTGTGCCAGAAAGGTTTGTTTGAATCCGAGGACAGGGTGCCCCGTTCTCTGACAATCAGAGATATTGAGGGGCGAGCGCCTAGAGCTGGGGCAGGTGACCCAGCGGGGGTTTCCCGGAAGGGCTGCACAGAGGGCTGGCCTGGGGAAAGGGCTGTGACAGCAGGCTTAGGGCGTCTTAGGTTCAGGACTCCTGGGGGAGGATTGGAGTCTCGGGGCCGTGCTGCGTGGGGGTGGGGGTGGGGGGGAAAGGGACCGTCCCCAGGGGGCTCCAGAGCCCCCAGGGCCTGTCAGACTCCCCGCCTGGCTGCTTCCTGCCCACCTGGCCAGGCGGCTGGAACATCAGTGGGCCCCCCCCTGGGTCCCCCCAGCAGATATTGGGGGATAAGGGTGTCCAGCCTGCCGAGGGGCAGGCAGGGGAGGCTAAGGGCCCTGGGGAGCTTGGGTGGACAGGAAGGGGCTGGTCACTCTCCTCTCCCTCCTGGGTCAAGCAGGGCCGATGGTGGTGTGAAACTGGTTGAAGCAGAAGCAATCAGATCTTGCCTAAGCATTTGTGTAAACAGGCTCAGTGAGGGCGGGGAGCTTCCTGGTCCTGAGGACGTGTGGGAAAAGTGCCCTAAGGGCTGGATGAGGAAGAAGCAGCACCCAGAACCCTGGAACCCCTAGACCAGGCATTCCATCTCCAGAGCAAGCGACTTTGGCCAATGTACTCACTTAGCTGCTCAGCAAATACTCTGCCCTCTCCCGGGACCCACAGCATCTGGGGCCCCTGAGAGAAGCCTGCTTGACACTGACAGACAGGCTGCTCCAGGCTGACTTGAGGAATCTGGGTGGGGCTGAGGAGAGGGGCTTCTTAGAAGAGGCAATGCCCACACCGAGTATTAAGGATGAACACAGACAGACTGGCCAGGTGTGGGAAGGGCACACCAGGCAGAGGGAACAGCATGCACAGAGCCCAAGCTTGGGGTGTTTAAAAGCCAAGAACCCTTGATGGGGCGGGGGTTAACGTGTGTAGTGGGGCGACGGGGCAGGAATTGAGTCTGGAGAGGGGCTGTGAGGCCCAGATCTCGGAGTATCTTGCAGGTCACAGTAAGGTCACAGTGGGAGAAACAGGGTGAGATGTGCTCTGAGGAGGGTCATCTGGCTCACGTGTGCTGGAGGGTGACAGCCCTCTGAGTGTCCCAGAGCTGGCCATACCCAAGGGGCCGGAGGGCGTCTGAACTGGTGATGGGTTGTGAAACAGGCAGCCTTGCTGAAACCGACAAACATTTATTGAGCACCTACTATGTGCCAGGCTCTGTGCCAGTTGCTTGGGATATTCGGCCCACGGAATTGACTGCCTTTGTGCAGCATGCCTGAGTGCCTGTGGGTGTGCACACACGTGTATGCATGTGTGTGTGCGCATGTGTGGGAGAGAGCAGATAATAGCCAGTACGTGTGACGCGTAAGTAAATGACACAGGGACTGAGCAGGCAGGCTTTGCTCTGCGGGCAGCAGCGCCATCGCGGGGTTCTGAGCTTGCACTGTGTTCCAGGAGGAACCTGTGGCTGATGTGCTCACCAGGGACTGAGGGGAGGGATAGCGAGCGGCGGCTTCTGCAGTCCCAGCAAGGGCACCATGGGCTTGGAGGGGAGGTGGCAGTGCAGGGTTCGAGGGGTGGGATTCTGCACTTCTGGAGAGGGAAGGAACAGCTGACAGGGTGCCCTGAGGAGTGGGGCGTGGGCCGGAGAGCACCTGCCATGTGGAGCTGCTGTCGTCTGTGAAGCAGCCTGGGGGGGCGAGAGGGGGACAGCAGAATGCCCTGGAGCTCCGTGCTTGAGTGGATGGGGACATGGGCCACATGGGTGCAGGCATGTGCAGGCTGGGCTGTGGTCTGAGCTGGAGGTATGAATTAGGGTGTCATTGGCCTCAGGACTGATCAAGATGAATCCAGGAGCGGGTCGATGAGGGGTTCCTTGGAAAGTGCTTGGAACAGTGCTTGTTACTCTTATTATTCCCTGAGGGCTCACCTCAAAAGTCACCTCTTGGGGCCCGCCAAGTGGCTCAGTTTGTTAAGAGTGCGAGCTCTGGGCCGGCCGAGTGGCGCGATGGTTAAGAACTCGCTTGGGATGCCAGAGGGCCCCGGTTCGGATCCCGCATGTGAGGGCCAGTGACACTGCCCTCCACAGCTAAGATGCTGAACAACGGCTCAACCTGGAGCTGGGCTGCCATGAGTCGC